CCTCTCATTAGGATGGACTATTTTAAGTTAGCAAAATTAAATAATAAAATAAAGTTCACACCAAAACAATAATTCTGTCACTATTTAGTAAGTCACGTGTTCTAAACCCATACAAATTTCTTGTGTGGAACGCAAAAGGGGAATATTCATGGTGTATTGGAAGTTTAATAACTAATTGTGTTTTGCTGTGTGTGTAGTGGAGGGTGGCCAGAGAGCCGTTATCTTCAGCAGAATTGGAGGGATGCAGATGGACACTGTGCTTGCAGAAGGATTGCACTTCAGGTACAATAAACACAATGGTTGTCATTAGAGCCATGATCTTTCATTATAATAGCAAAAAAAAAGTACACTCAAAAACTTTTTTTTTTTTTTAAATTCTGAAATGTTGTTATAATATAGAAGAACTTTTTTTCTATTTGATTTTTTTTTTCTTTTTTCGATATATTCCAGTCATGACAAAGCTGAATATTCAACAGCCATTACTCTTCAGTGTCACATGATCCTTTCAGAAATTATTCTAATTGGCTGATTTGGTTCTCAAAAAAACTTATTGTAAATCTTTAAAAAAAAAAAATCTTATTGATTCCAGACTTTTAAAACAGCAGTATAAAGTTCACTTAACGTTATCTTCACCTCAGCTCACAGAACTTTTTGGTTGATTATTTAATACTTGCTAGTCCTCACTCACACAGAGTTATTGTATAACTTTTGAAGAATTTAACTACTTTTATTGTACTTTAAAGGAATAGTTTACCCAAAAATGGAAATTTACTCATCCTCAGGCCATCCAAAATGTAGATGAGTTTGTTTCTTCATTGGGCTCCATCTCATTTTTGATGGTGCCATCAAAGTGAGAGTCCAAATAGCTGATCAAAATAATCCACAATCCACAACTGTTCCTTTAAATGTGCTTTTTTGGAGCTTGGCAGAATAAGTTAATTAGGCATTCTGCCTAAACTTCTCACTTTATGCTTCACACAAGAAAGAAAATATGTGGTCAGAACAACATGAGAGGGAGCAAATGATGTGAAAAGTTACATTTTGCAGTAAACTGTTCCCTTAATAAGTCTGTCTTACATTTAGAATGCCGTGGTTCCAGTACCCCATCATCTATGATATTCGAGCTAGGCCCAGGAAGATTTCATCCCTCACTGGAAGCAAAGGTGACCTTGAACCAGATTCTCATAAATGCAATAAATGTTAAACTTTGGCTTGATAGAGGTTCCAAATGATGTTGCTAGGCAACATACTCTGTCTCTCACTGTTGCCATACTCAATAACCAACATGTTAAGAGTGTGCCACTTAAAAGAGTTCATGTGACTGTCCATCACAGATCTTCAGATGGTAAACATAGGTCTTCGTGTGCTATCTCGGCCCATTGCCTCCAAACTGCCGATCATGTACCAGCAGCTGGGGAAAGACTATGATGAACGTGTGCTTCCTTCTGTCGTCAATGAGGTGCTGAAGAGCGTGGTGGCCAAGTTCAATGCCTCCCAACTGATCACACAGAGAGCTCAGGTACAGTATGAAGACTGAAGGCCGTGATTCACCAAGTCAGCAGTCAGGTTTCAGCAATGTTTGGTTGTCGTTCAGTGACTGTTGGGCATGTTGAATCAGTGGTGGAGCCCATCTGTGGGAGAGTTCACTCTAATTGGCTGTTCATCTTAGCAAACCAGTGCAAGAGAATGCCTTTATTATAGAATGGTCTTTATTAGTGCAGGACTGATTTTTGTACATGGTAACTGCTATATTTCTGCATTTTCATTCAGGCCCTCTACCATTTATGTTCAGACCAATAATATATAAAACAAATAATCACTTTCCTAAGAAGTGTGAAGTTGATCATTTTACAAAACTTTGTCAATACATTTTTGTCAAAACTGTATTATTTGAACTATAAAATTGTTTAAATCATGTTTTTACAGTCATTTTACAGTTACCATAGACCTGTGGTTGTGTTGAAGAATATTATTTGTATCATTAGTTGATCTCCTCTTCGTCTCACAATCAGGTTCAGGAATGGTGCTATTTTGGGATATTTTTTGGAGCTTGGTAACCTCAGTCCCATTTCACTTACATGGAAAAGAGCAATGTGAACACATTCAAAATGTCTTTTTTTTGTTCTGAATGGAAGTCAGTCAGTCATACACAGGTTTTGAACGACATGCTCATAGAATAGATAACCTGATGTCATATTCCCTAAAGAATAGGATCAATATCATCAGGTATTTATCTTATTACAGATTCTGTTATAACCCCAAGATTCATTCCTAACCCATACATTCACCTTCTGTCCCTGACCTTTGACCTTAACACTGTCAGCAGCTTCTCAGGTCTGATCCTGGTGTGAGACAAAAATGATTAACTTTCAGCAAAGGCTAAGAAGCTCTGCCTTAACTTAGTTACAGAGCTGTTTACAAAAACTGACCGATATTTCACACACTCATCTAAAACAAGAGCTGGGACAAGATGGAACAAGAGCCGAGACACACTAGATGAAATATTTCATATTAAAATATCTGCTTGTTTGGTCAGGTCTAGAAATTAAGACTTGTGACCAAAATGTATTACAGTGTTTCTACAGTGGGGTCCAAAGGACCACATTGAAAGTATGGCATTCTATTGAAGCACTTATGTTGAACATTATCGAATCTACATAAGTTTGAGTTGGGTAACATGAGTTTTACACAAACTTGTAGACTTCATGTCAGCTCAAATGTTACTGTCACTAAAGCATAAGAAGGACATAGCAAATACTAGGACATTTATATACTGAAAAACTTTGTAAGTAAGAACAATTCTAAGCATAAGCACTTTCACTTATGGACCTTATTTTATCTGCATGTCTGTTGATGATTTGATCAGTTACTGAGAAAATGAGCCTTAGCTGTTATTTATGTGTTGTTTTGTTTTGGTGTTCAGGTGTCACTACTTATAAGGCGAGATCTAATCGAAAGAGCTAAAGACTTTAACATCATCCTGGACGACGTGGCCATCACAGAGCTCAGCTTCAGCAAAGAGTACACTGCTGCTGTGGAGGCCAAACAAGTCGGTTAGTAGTACCGAAATACATAATCTATGCACCCTATTATGCCCTCTTGATAATGATGATACATATTGTGTACCCTAAACTAGTCTAAACGAAGCATCCTAATCCAACAAAAATGACCTAATAATATGACGTGTTTACATTTGATAAGACAAGCCTCCTCATAAAGTCAGTTTGACACACACAATAGCCTTACGTTGACCTGTCTAAATCCCACACTCTTTGTCTTGAATCTTACCCAACAAATATAAATACTCCATAAGATCATCTGGGGGGTATTCCAGGAAGCAAGGTTAACTTACTGTCACATATACCATGACGTCTCGGTTGATTAACCCAAACTTTACTTACTTGAGGTATGCTGATTCCAAAAACGTGTCCGGAAGTAAGTTCAGTCAACTCAGAGTATGTTCACGGTTAACACACAAGACATTCTCAACAGAGAGACGAATTGACTAGTCACTGTGGAAATGAACGCTAAGAAAAAGCACGCCATACTACTACTTTTTTTGTTCAATGGCCTTTTACATACTTAGTGCATATCACCACCTAATTGGTGGTTGTGCAGTCATTTTTCAATCTTTTCATTAAATCTTTAATCACTGAGAATAAGAATTATATTGTTTGTTTGATGCTCAGGGCTTAAAGTTCTCCAGCACCGTGCCGGATCTCTGGCGTGCAGCGTTTGGCTACGGAAAAAAATAGTCCTACATTTAAAAAAAAAATGAAATCTTGTTGATTGATATCACTTTCGAGTCCATGAGTTCGCCCACCAATGCTATGAGAGGAGCACAGCTTTCACTCTCAACCAAACTAACATTACTAGCCAATCAGAATGTTTTGCTCTTATAAACACGAGGCGCGCATAATAGTATCCAACTGCAGAGCCCTGATGAATGGAGAAGTGCGACAAAAAGCTGCGAGGCGCAATGGTCAAAGATGTCCATCTAGTGCATATTTACATAGAATAACTCCTTAAAAAGCAGCGGAGCTTTGTAAACAGCTCAGAGTAATCATGTCATCTCCATAAAATTAACCGGGATTTTTGAAAAGGTCCTGTTCACACATGATTTATTAATGGTAACTTACCGGTAATTTACCAGTACTGTACGTGTGAAAGGGGCTAAACTCTTCCTCTGCATATGCCGTGAATTTGAATGGCTTAACGTTCATCTGGAAAAACAGTGTGCATTATCTCACTAGATTTGTAACGTAAATCATTTATAAACCTTTGCCAACACAGGAGAATACATCAACCTATGTCTAAATATGCCATGCATTGTACATCGCGATTTCAAAATAAAAGTTTCTGCATGTGGCCAAATATTAAAATTAAATGGATTTAAACATCGTTTAATCACGCTGTAAAGTGAAACGTCACCAGGCCGTTGGCGCCCTCTGCAAGTATTTGTTTTAATACATAATGTACTTAAGTTGGTTATGTTCATATTATGTATAGGCATATTACATTATGTATTTTAACAGTTGTTCAATACAATCATGTAATTTCTTGGTTTTGGTATTTTATTTGAGCCAATTATTCTTGCCTCATCGTTAGTTTATATGTAAATAGTCATACTAAAGCCTGGTTTTCACTTAGGTCTGTTTGTTACTAAAAAATATCAGATTACTCTGTTGTCAAAATAATCCGTAGATTACTTGATTACCAAAATAATAATTAGTTACAGCCCTCGATTAGTTAAAATATTTCTAAATACAACTGCATTGTTTTACTTTTTGTCATTAAAAGACAAATGTTTTGTCATTGAAAATTTCTTTAAAATAGTATTAAAATATTGTCACGTTCTAGTGAACCAAGTATCTGTATTTTGTCTCATCTCATGAGCTAAGTGTATTGTAAACACCCCTAGTGTCGATAAGCGGTGATATAGCTCATAATTTTCCAAGTGTATGGTACAGCTTTCATTCTTCAGGTCAATCATATATTCATGAAAAAAAAATGTTTGAATAAAGAAAGCAATAAATTGGCCATAGTATCCTTTCAAACGTTAAAGTTGCCACAGTCATTGCATGCTTTGTGTGTGCTGCCCCGCCCCCAGGGAAAAGTTCAGGCTCGGGATTTTTTTTTTGCTTTAACCCCTGTATAATATAATAATGTATTTTTTTTAATAGAAATACGGTATAGAAAATGTCCTGTTGCAAAGAGAGAGAAAAAAAAAGTTTAAATGCAGATCCCTGTGTGAGATGAATGAATATATTAGAATAAATATATCTTGTTAATAGTGCTTTATAATTAATATATAACGATACAAATTAAATATTACCTTATCACTTATAATAGTGCTTTATAATATATTTGTATATTATTTAACTTTATTGCTATATTGTAATAATATATAATTATAATATATATTGTGCGCAATCTACCATGTCCACTGGAGTCTCGTCAATATTCGCTGATAGCTCTGAAATAAACTAACTCCGAAACATAACCTCATTGATGATTCAGTGTTGTCATCATCCAGTTCAGCTCTCTTCCAATAGTGTCTGTGCAATCAGTCAAGCGTCCCCAACTAAGCAAGCCAAAGGTGACAGTGGCAAGGAACCAAAACTCCATCGGTGACAGAAATGGACTAAAACCGTGGGAGAAACCAGGCTCAGTCGGGGGGCCAGTTCTCCTCTGGCCAGACGAAACCAGCATGACGTGGTTTAATTCCAGGCTGCAACACAGGTGCAGAGGTCTTGTCTGGTTTTCGTGGTCTTTGCCGATGGTCGTCAAGGTGACGAGGTCTTCACAGGGGATCTGTCTCTCGGGCTCATCTAGTTGACGTGGTCTCCGCTGAAATTCAGGGCTGTAGAGGTCATCTCTAGGTGCTGATCCACCATCTGGACTGGATCTGGTGGCTATACAGTGACCTCGGAGTAAGAATGAAAGAGACTAATATTAGCGTAGATATTAGCCATTCTTCTTACGATGTAACGAGTACATCGGTTGTTATGGGAAGTGTTCCCGGTTCCAGTTGACCTAATTAATGCAGCCTAACAATCCTTTAACGGATTTGAATTATAGAAATGTGATAGTGTATTATGTGTATGCCAAGTTACCAAGTTAAATCTTTAACCTAGATTTAAACTGACAGTGTCTGCCTCACGGACAATGCTAGGTAGATTGTTCCAGAATTTGAGAATTTGGTAGGAAAAGGATCTGCCGCCCGCAGTTGACTTTGATATTCTAGGTCATGGATGAGCAACTTTGATAGTGACGAGGGACAGCATTTTTTCTCCTTTATACCAAGGGGCCAGATTACTAATCCACAACCACACATGTTTTACACCGTATTACTCAATTTCCTTTTTATTGAAGAAAATTAAAGTGTAACTAATGTAATTTGTTTTTAAAGATTTTTATTAACTATAAAACTTGTGCAGTTATGCTAATTCAGAAGGAAAACTTTGTTGCCAGTGGACAGAAATATTACCCCAACAAGCCAATGTAAACTTATATGTAAAATCTCAATTGCATTGTCTGTAAATTTGCAACAAACAAATGTACAGAGATCCTTTTTTAATTAGTGGCCTACAGAACATTCTCAAAACAACCTAAGAGGACAGTTAAAAAGGGCTTATTAAAAAAAAATTGTTATTCCAAATGGTACCATAAAATAACCTGGTATCTGCAAATGTAAGACCTTTTTAAGATCTGCACTTCACATTTCAGCCTTTAAACCAGGTGTGGAATATCAAGATGCTGATTAGACAGCATGATTATTGCACAGGTGTGCCTTAGGCTGACCACAATAAAAGGCCACTCTAAAATGTACAGTTTTACTGTAT